TATAAAGATGCCAAGAGTATACTTTGCTATCTAAATTCAAGAAAATTCATAGAGTTTTAAGGTGGTTGAAATTGATGATTCTTTTTTTGAGGGGGGGGGAGCATGTTTCTCTGTGTACATCCCTGCTTGTCCTGAAACTCGCTCTGTAGACAAGGCTAGCTTTGAACTCAGAGATTCACCTGCCTTTCCCTTCTGAGTGCTGAGATTAAACACCTGGCTAGATATTGACGATTCTCTACCTTGTTTATTAAGGCATCTCTTAGAAAACAAGTGACACACAACTTCCAAGACAATTGAATCACCAGAGAAGGAAGGGAGGAAGTCACGTTCGACCTGTACTCCAGGCCCTAACGCCTTCACTTGGTGGCATTAATTCTTTAAAAAGATTTATTTTTATTTTAAAAGCAAAATAATTTAATGACTTAATTTTTACTTTTATTTATTTCTTTGTTGATAGGGTCTCACTTCGTAGCCCAGGCTAAGCTGAAATGAACTCTGTTGTCCACTTTGGACTTCTAGCTCAGCCTCCAGAGTGTTGGCATTAGGGGTGTGAGCCACCACACCCAGTTCACTAATTCATTTAATATATTTAGCGCGTGACACATAGGTATTTTGTTAGGTGCTTTCAAAAAACATAAATAAGAACTGCTGCCCTCCAGGAGTTTTCAGAGACAATGGACTGTATGTCTACGTTCTGGTCGACTTGGCTGTCTCGTTTCGTTTTTCTGTTTTGGTTATTTGGAGATTGGTTCTCACTCTAGTCCAGGCTGGTCTGGAACTCATTGGGAAGTCCAGTCTGGCCTCAGATTTATGGCAGTCCTCCTGCTTCACACTTCTGAGTACTGGGATTAAAAGCATGTGCCACCACCACCCAGCTATTTGTACTTTTCTTTTTTCTTTTTCTTTTCTCTTTTTTTTTCTGGTGCTGGGGATTGAACCCAGGGCCTTGAGTTTACTAGTCAAGCCCTCTCTTGAGCCAAATCCCCAACCCCTGTACTTTTCTGTATTTGATTTTATTGTCTGTCTGCAAGTATGCCTTGTTGATATAACCAGAGAAAACATGAAGGCGATTTTTATTTCCTCTTGTTCAGTTCCTTCAGGTCTTAGCAGGAGTGGAGTAATGTGGCTTAAACATTAACCTGAGTAAAGCTGCTTATTCTTGCTCCTCTCCAGGATGTATATACTCATCTCTGCCAGCATTAATTCCCACCACACTTCTTTCTAAGTCAAATTCTGAATTAGCTCCCACAAACCCAAATAATATTTTATTCTGTTTTTTTTTTTAAACATCTTCCAAATATCAACTCCCCTTTTCTTAGAGGCAGGGTCTCACAGAGCACAGGCTAGTCTCAAAGTTGCAGTGTTGCAGGGATAGCTTTGAATTTCTGATCGTCTACTTCTGTCTCAGTGCTGGGACGCTGCATGCACATTGTCATGACTGAGTGATTGATATGGTGCTGGGCATCAAACCCAGGGCTTTTTGTACACCCGGCAATCAGGCTACTGACTGAGCTGCATCCCCAGCCCTTTCCCCATTCATCCCTCACCTCTATCTTTCTATCCCACTTGGCTGTTGCCTAAACTGGCTCTTCATCATCTTACCTGTATTACACATCACCCTCCTAATTAATCTACCCACCTCCAGCTGCATCTCTGTCCAGTAAGGTCTTCTAAACCACGAGTCCCTCCTACTTAACATCTGTCACTGGCTCCTCACTGTCTCTGAGAGTCTGAATCAGAATGTCTCAGACACACTGGCTCTTGGTGCTCCTCAGGAAGTGCCCCATAGTTAAGGATAGGCTGCTACCCCTGTTTTCATGGATCTGGCTCCTTTTTGTCTTAAGGGTTTGGATCTTGTTCTCCTTTTATTTTGAAAACCCCTCTTCCTTTCCCTGACTACTACCCTGCTACTTAGAAAGGTGGGCTCGGAATGCCTCCTTTCCAATTCTCCCTCCCATCTACTCCAGTCCACCTGATGCTACTACATCCGGAAGAACAGCGACAGGGACATTGGCTGCCAAGGTCTGTGCAGAAGGCTTTGAAAACACAGACTTATTAAATATAATGACCCTATTAGGTAGGCACTGTCTTAAACTTCTTTTTATTGTAACATCTGTCCCACTGTTCTCAATGGCTTAGTTAGCTATGTTATCAATAGACAATCTCAATCAGCTTCATGTCCCTAGCAACTGGCTACTTTCTGTAAACCCTTTTTGGAATATGACGAAATTAGCAGCATTTAACTAAGCCTTGTTCTCAGGATTAGGTGATGTGAGATTTTACGAGCCAGTTTTGGGAGACAGACACCTGGATTCTGGTCAGAGGCTTTGGAGTTTCTCTAGTCACCTTTGCACTGGATGATAGTGCCACCCTCCTAGTTACTCAAGGAAATGACCTAGAGTTACCTCGTGTCTACCTTTCTTCACATCAGCACTCCAGGGAACCACTCTGAACTCCTTCATCTTTTATTCGCAGCAACCACCCCAATCCAGATAACTACGTCTACACCACGTACTTACCCAAGAACTTTTTTGTTACCTTGTTTCTCTTTGTTTCATCTCTGCTAGTCTTCAGAGATCATTCTCTATAAAAATAGGTACAAAATGTAAAAGCCCTAGATGAAAACAACAAAACACACACAAATGAAAAAAGACAGCAACAAAACCAGGCTGGGCATGGTGGCACAGGCCTTCAATACCAGCGGAGGCAGACAGATTACTGAGAGGGCAGCCAGGGCTGTGTAGTGAGAGCATGGCTCAGCTCCTCACCCCTCCCCCCAAACCCAAAACTTCTTCCCTTTGCTCTTATGAATAAGAATCCAAACCACAGTTGGGCTCCTGTTCAATGTTTCAACCCCATTGTCATCCCCCTCCCCTCAAGTGTGCTTCAACCTCCTGCTCCTCAAACCAGCCAAAGTTGTTGGCTGGCATGACAGATTCTTCTTCTTTATTTAAGTCTTAACTCAGATCACCTCAGAAAAGTCACCCTTGCCTTTGTCTTTACAAAAGTTGAGTGTGGTTGCCGGGTGGTGGTGGCACACACCTTTAATCTCAGCACTTGGGAGGCAGAGGCAGGCAGATCTCTGTGAGTTTGAGACCAGCCTGGTCTAGAAACTAATTCCAGGACAACTAAGACTGTTGCATAGAGAAACTCTGTCTCAAAAACAAAAAAGAAAAGAAAAGAAAATTGAAAAAAAAATAGTTGATTGAATATAGTTTATGTGTTCAAATTCATGTTTCATGAAAACTCAGGAAACTTTTCAAATTACATTATTTCACTTCTTTCCCTGACCACTGTGTATTTTAAAAAAATACTTATTTTTATGTGCATTTGGTATAAAGGTATCAAATTCATTGGAACTGGAGTTATAGACAGTTGTGAGCAGCCGTGTGGGTGCTAGGAATTGAACCTCAGGTCCTCTGGGAGAGCAGTCAGTGCTCTTAATCATTAAGTCATCTCTCCAGCCCCAACTATCCTGTATTTTCTCCTAACATTTAGCACTACCTGCAATTGTCTCATTATTTTTCTTCTCCCCTAGAAACATACACTTGAAATTGCAAAAGCTGCATCAAAGGACAACAGTCTGTCCATCTTTCTTTCTTTCTTTCTTTCTTTCTTTCTTTCTTCCTTCCTTCCTTCCTTCCTTTCTGTTTTTCTTTTGTTTTTTGAGACAGGGTTTCTCTATGTAGCCTTGGCTATCCTGGAACTCACTTTGTAGACCAGGCTGGCCTTGAACTCACAGAGATCTGCCTGCCTCTGCCTCCCAAGTGCTGGGATTAAATGTTTGCATCACCACCAGGCCACTCCATCTACCTCTTTCACTTCTGATCCACCTACTTCTATTTTTTTTTTTTTTTGAGACTGGGTTTCTTTACAGAGTCCTGGCTGTACTGGAACTCACTATGCAGACACCAGGCTGGCCTCCAACTCACAGAGATCTGCCAGCCTCTGCCTCCTAGGTGCTGGGGTCAAAGGTGTGCACCACCACACCCAGAAGCGCGTTACCCAGCTCAGTTTTTTAAAAAACGGAATAACTGAAACACCGAAAAGGCGAGTATCTTCTCTTGTGTGTAAAAGAGTCCCAACAGAAGTAAACTCCTGAGTCCCTAATTGGTAGGACAGGAGGTGGACTCACAGGCAGCCTAACCCTTTCAAATGCTATCAGCCAACTGTTGACAAAAGCATTAATCACGGTTGTCCCAGAGGAGCCCAGCTCTGGGCCAGCAGGGGAGCTCCTTGCTGGAAAGGTCTACAAAGCAGGCAATTCTTGTAAGGGTCAGACATCTTTTGTTCAGGGCATCTGACCCGGAGAGAAATGGTCAACAGGACTGAGTACGGACTGACGGAATGATTAATGAAGCCAGTTTATCTGACATCTTTTCGCAGGCCAACAGGGACTCTTCAGTCTGTTTCTTTTAGCTTTCTTTTTCACCTGCCTTTACCCTAAATTCACCCACATCTTTGCTTTTGAGAAGTCCAAGGCATAAACTGTTTTATCTCTGTCTTACACCTATCCGTATCATTTTTTTAAAATTATTTAGTCCCAAGGATGTTTTTTTTAAAATTACTTGATTGTCTCATTACTTCAAGTGACTCATTTCTGTCTTTTCTAGTTTGTGTGTTACTGAAGGACAGTCTCAGTCAAGTATAATTTAGACCACAAAGCGACTTATGAAAGGATTCCGGCCACTGTTTCTTCTTCCTTAACGGTCAGTTTCAAGAGCCCCGTTAGCGTCAGGCAGCCCTCGTCCCACGCAGGCTGCCTTTTCGGACTCAGGAAGTTGAGTCGGTCCCCTCGCAGCCACACTGGAGGAGGGTTGCGATAGAGCCCAAGACCAGGTAGCTGGAGAAGCGCCGCGGGTACCCAAGCGCCGGGAGGGGGCGTGGCGGTGGGCGTTTCCCGCCGCCGCAGGACCACCAATGGCATCCAGGAGCTCGGGGCGATGCGCGTGACGCAGCCGCGGGCTGGGAGGTTGGGGCGGAGAACGGGGGTGGGTGCCGGCTCTTTATCTTCCTCCGCAGCCCGGCTGGCGGCGTTGCGGACCCGCGTAGGGACATCGTTCCGCAGCGACCCCCCCGCGGCTGACCTACCGCCCGGACCGCCGCAGCTGCCCTCGAGCCGCAGGTAACCCCAAGCCTCCGCTCCCCTCCTCCTTTGCTGTCCAGGTCCACCCTGAGCCCGAGAGGAAGGGGACTTCGGTGGCGGCGACGTTCCGGCTCTGCGGGCCTGGCCTGGGCCGGACTGTCCCGCCGCGACGCTGCCTGTCTCGGGGGAGGGCGGGAAAGTTACCCGTAGCCATCCGGATGACCGGCAGCCTTTTCAATATCAGTGATGGTTTCGATGTCCCCTGAATCATGTGGTGCCTCGCAAGCCAGTCAGTAGTAAAGAAAGTTGAGAATTAGAAGTCATCTCATTCTTTGAAAAGCAACACCAAAAAATGCGCTCAGGAAGTCTGGTTTTTTTCCTAATGTGGGTGGGGGAGATGTGTGTGAGGGGAAAGATGGCACTACCAGACATCAGACTGTGGGCCGGGGCGCCAAAACCTTTAGCTCGTGCTCTGTTTTTAAGTAGCAGGAGGGAGTTGTTAAGTTTTTCTTTGATCTTAAGTGTTAATAGTCATGTAGCTTAAGCGATATATAAATCTAGGGATTATTTGTGAGAAATTATTATAAGTTCCCTTCTCTGCATTTTCTATAAAAGTCGTTGGTCACTGTAATACTTAAGTAGTAGCCACTCTTTCCCTTCAAACTACTTGTCTTCTTCGTTAATGCAGAATCCAACTTGAATATTCTTTTTTCTCTTGTTTCCTTTCAACTGGGAAATATAAATTACTTGTTAAAAGCCAGCTCAGACTGCGGGAGTGGGGATTGCAGAGAGCTCTGATGCTGGGAAGGGTAAGCAGGGGCAGGGTAAACGTGGAGAAGCACACGGCTTAGTGTGTCACGTGCTTGGAACTGGCCAGGGGTTTCACGTTCCCTTAGGACCCAGCCAAGGTGCTGAGTGCCTGAGTTGCTGCGGACAAGCCTGGTGGGTTTTCCAGGCTCCAGCTTCCTTTTTCGTCCCTGGAAAGCTTCCTCTTGTCTCTTGGAGCGTTTCCCCCAGGCCTTCTGCTCTTTTTCCCCCTTCTCCTTCTCCCACCACTAAACATTCCTCAAACCAAAGATCACTTCCCTGTGGGAGCCACTCATCAGGGGAAGCCTGCTAGCACTCTGTAAGTCTCCTTACCAGCAGTTAGTTAGTCATGTTTGAAAGGAGACGCTTTGTTTTCTGTGGATCTCATGAGGCCAGACTATCTTCTGTCTTCTCAGGGTAGGGTCTGGTCTGGTCATGAACTAGAGTTGGAGGGCGGAAGAAGGAACTTTGAGAAAACATTAACCAGGGACAGTGACTCTTTCTTATGGACCTTCCAATTGTCAGACAGGAGGCTTAAGTTTTTTGCACCCCTCCCCCCCAGACAGGGCTATGGAGCCTGTCCTGGAACTAGCTCTTGTAGACCAGGCTGGCTTTGAACTCACAGAGATTCGCCTGCCTCTGCCTGCCCGGAATCCTGAGATTAAAGGTGTGTGCCACAGCCATCCGGTTTAAGTCCGCCCCCCCCACATTGGATAATTTTTTTATATTTAATCATTTGTAAGTAAAACTCACATGAGCTGGGTGGTGGTGATGCACAAGCACTCAGGAGGCCGAGAAACCCTGTCTCGAGAAACCAAAATAAATAAACTCAGATGCAAATAAAATTTGCCCAAGTTCTCCTGTTCTGTCTGGTTAATTGACCCAACTCTGATAGTTATATGAAAAAGTTGTAGGGTAGAGCAAACCGTTTTTGGAGGGAAGAAGATGAAGACATGCTTTGGATTGTTAATTCCCACCCCCACCCCCCCTTTTCTCCCTGTTTTCCTCCCTCCCTTCTTTCTATTGATAGGATCTTATGTAGCCCAGGCTGGCCTGATGCTGTGTAGCTGAGAATAATCTTAAACTTCTGGATTCTCCTGCTTCAGCCTCCCAAATGCTAGGATTTTAGGTGTGTACCATTCTATCCGGGGTTGGATTGTAAATTCTATCCACAATGGTTTCTCTCTTCCTCTGGGTGGTGGAGGAGTTATTCACCTGTAAGAGGTGCCTAGTATTTATTTGTGATACAGTTTTATAGGTTCTTTTGAAATCTTTGTTAATGAGAAAACTGGAGGCAAGCTAAAGTTGACATTTCTTTGGGACATGAATCATTTGTTTCTCTAATTCCTTTTATTTACTTTCTTATTGCAGAGCATTATATAACTTCCCTGTACAGATTGGTTTCTTATTTTCTTGTCTAATCAGTGTGTTATATTTTATTGCTAGTGTGCGTCCGTGCACACATATATGTACATACCACTGTAGTGAGTATGGAGGCCAGAGGGCTACATGGTGTAGTTAGCTTTCTTTTACCTTTATGTGACTTCCAGGGATTCAGCTTGGGTTGCCAGGCAGCACACAGGCATTTTTATCCACTCAGCTATCCTGCCAGCCCCACTGGTCAACTTTGTCACCTAAAAGGAAGATAGTTCTACCACACAATCTCATACATCTTTGCAATGGGGTGGAAATGTTTGTTGGGGACTCAGGACTAGTACTTTGTGGCAGAGAGGCAGGCAGATTGGAGTTAGGTTAGCCAGGGCTACATAGTGAGACCATATCTCATAAATAAATAAATAAATAACCCAAACAAGCAGAACACACCAACAATACATAAGGAATGAAAATGTTTAGTGAGCTGGTGGCGCACCTCCTTTGGCGCCCAGCACTGTGGATGGTGCTTGTTTTCCTTCACTGCTGGGCCTCTTGTAAGAACTGTACTATGTTCTGTTTTCAGTTCCTCAACACATTTTGCAACCTATTCCCATACATTTTCCTTTGTGGAACCAAAGGAAATACGTAGTTAGTAAAAAATTACTCACTGTTAGCACATCTCCACATTGTGAAATAGCTGTCCCAAGTTCCACCTTTTTTTTTAAAAATAACCTTTAATATAGATATGTATATATATCTTCCTTCCTTTCTTCCTTCCTTCCTTTCTTTCTTTCCTTCCTCCCCTCCTCTCCTCTCCTCTCCCTCTCTCCTTCCTTCCTTCCTTCCTTCCTTTCTTCCTTCCTTTTCTTTTTTTTGGTTTTTCGAGACAGGGTTTCTCTGTGTAGCTTTGGAGCCTGTCCTGGAACTAGGTCTTGAGATCAGGCTGGCCTCGAACTCACAGAGATCCGCCTGCCTCTGCCTCCTGGGGATTAAAGGCATGCACCACCACCACCCGACTATATTGTGTGTGTGTGTGTGTGTGTGTGTGTGTGTGTGTGTATAAAACAAAACAAAACCTTGCTAAAAAAAATGTCACACACCACCCTTCCTTTTGTGTTTGTACTCTATTTGAATTTTCCATGATCTTGACCCCAGAGAATCCCTCTGAATCCTCCTACCCCCCTCCCCTGGCCCCACCCCCAACAGCATTCTTTGCTCCTTGTTCTCCTTTAATCTCTTTGCATTTTGTCTTTTTGCTGTTAACTTTTTAAATGCTTCATAATGCTTCACCATCTATAAGATTGTTAGTATTTATTGCTTAGCATGTTAGATAAGTGCTATGTAAATAGTAACCTGTGTAGTTCCTAGGTGACCTGCCTGGGAAGTGTCCTGAACTTGTGCTTAGCCTTAGCTGTTGGTGTGCTCTGATGTGTCTCAGATCCCTATCTTCAGTGCTGACTCGTGTGTTCAGCTGGCCTTTATAAAAGACCTTGGCTGGCCGACAGGCACGTAATGTTGGGCTTATCTATTCTCTCTTTGCATAATGCATAATGGCATAATTTCATAATGGCATTCCTAGCCTTTCTGAATTAGCATACTTACTTGGGGGTCTGTGACCAGCCACCTTCTACCCATAGCCAGCCACACCTCAAAGACTTCTCTAGTCATTTGTAAGCTTATCTGATCTTCCTTATCTCTTCCTTCATTTATTTTACCTATAAACACATGTCATGTGAGTCTTCAGGCCCCACGGCTTTGTCTGTGAGCTCATTGTTGGCACTGTCGCTGAACCTGCCTTTCTTTAACAGATCCTTTTCATTGGTTCTGAGTTTGTCTTCCTCAAAGTAAATAACAAATCCTTTTTTGTTTTTTGGGTTGGGGACTGAATGGAGGGCCTTCCACATGCTCCAGAGATAAACTGCCTTTGAAGTTCACTCTGAGATCCCAATCTTCTTTTTTAACAAGTGTGATTTGAGAGGGAGAAGAAAAGGGCAAACAGAAAGACTAGAAAGGGGTACATTCTCAAAATCAGAGCACTCTGGAGGCAGAGGCAGAAGGATCTCCACAAATTCTAGGCCAGCCAGGTCTCCACAGTGAGATACTTCACTCCCCCCCCCCATTCCCATATGTTTTGTACATATAAAGCATAAGCATTAAAAAAGTAGCTGTTTCTTTTTTTCTAGCATTGATAAGCATTGCACTGGGATACTTTTTTATGTTTTGAGGAATAAACTTTAATCTGGCATTTGGTTTTAATATTTTTTTTCAAGATTTATTTATTTTATGTATACCAGTGCTGTATCTACATGCACACCTTTATACCAGAAGTGGGCATCAGATCTCACTACAGATGGTTGTGAGCCACCATGTGGTTGCCGGGAATTGAACTCAGGACCTTTGGAAGAACAGGCAATGCTCTTAACCGCTGAGCCATCTCTCCAGCTCCCTTATTTTATATTTTTAGACAGGGTCTCACTTTATAGCCCTGCCTGGCCTGGAACTCACTATGGAGGACTCACAGAAGTTTGTCCCAAGTGCTGGGGTTAAAGGGGTGCGCCGCCTCACCTGGCCTGCGTGTCTGTTTTGAGGCCCACATCGCCCCTTGCTGTGCCACTGCTCTTTTCTGATTTCTGCTTCCTTCAAAGACGTCCTCAGCATTCACTCCCGCTTACCACTGCTCTGATTATTTCTGCGGGATAATTCAGTGCTCGGTGGTTTCCTCTCAGATTTCACATAGATGACCTTTAAATCTTTGTCACTAGCCCAGACCAAAGGGCTTCTCAGTTTCTCCTTTGCACATGTGCATGTGTGTGTGTGTGTATTTTTAGATTTAAATTTATTTATTCTATTTTATATATGAGTGATTTGTCTGCGCTGCGTGAACGTGTGTGCATCATATGAGTTCTTCATGCCCACAAGTCAGAAGAGGACATTGGATCCCTGTGAGAATCTTGTGGGTGCTGTGGACTGAACCCAGGCCCACTACAAGAGCAATTAGTCCTCTCTGCTGCCTAGCCATCTCCTCAGCCCCATACCTGGCTTTTGATATGAGTGTTGGAGATCCGAACTTGCACAAGGAAGCACTTTACCCACAGGCTCCCAACCCCCAGTTTTATGTCTTTGATACATTTTGGGCTTAAGTTTTGCCTAGATTGTGAGATGAGGGCCTGTCTTGGCCTTTTTGGGTATCTGAAGTTTTTCTTTTCATTCTATCACTGGAAGGTGTGAGTCGATTTCTCTTCATTTTGTCAGTCATCACTGAGAAAGGCGTGTGACTCCGTTACAGCATAGCCAGTGGCTGTGACTCTGACTCAGCTCTTCGCTGTACGGCTTTGGTTCATTTACCAGGCCGTAGGAGGAGAGAGCCGCTTAGCCCTGAAATAATCACACAAAAACTATATTAATTAAATCACTGCTTGGCCCATTAGCTCTAGCTTCTTATTGGCTAACTCTTACATATTAATTTAACCCATTTCTATTAATCTGTGTATGGCCACATGGCTGTGGTGCCTTACGTCTGTCTGTCTCCGGCAGGGCTACATGGCCTCTCTCTGACTCCGCCCTTCTTTCTCCCAGCATTCAGTTTAGTTTTCCCCGCCTACCTCTATTCTACCCTATCAGGCCAAGCCAGTTTTCTTTATTCATTAATGGTAATCACAGCATACAGAGGGGAATCCCACATCACCAGGGAAAAGACAAGTTATCTGCTGACAGGATTCTACTGTCATCAGTGTCAGCACAGAGGAGAACTCATGTTTGTTTTTTCTTTTATCGTGTTTATGCATGTGTGGTTACATGCAGTGTGTGTACTGGTGCCGCCAGAGACCAGGATAGGTTGTCTGGTCTCCTGGGGCTGTAGTTGCAGGTGGTTGTGAGCTATCTGACAGGGGTTCTGGGGACCAAAATGTGTCGCCTGGAAGAGCAATAGGAACCTTGACCTCTGAGACTTCTCTCCAGCCCAGCGAGTTCCAGTTCCAACCCTTTTTTATCCATGGACAGTTCATCCTTCCGAGCTCTGTCAGTGACATCCTTTCTCTTGAAACCATTATTTGATTACTGATCTAGCCTCTCTTTGAACTTTGGATGCTTGCATTTATTACTACTGACTTGGTAGCCATTCCCTAGCTTGTGGTATCGTTGTGACTGTTCTAAGAGATGTAAAATGAACATCTGCCTCCAAACTGGACTAGCACCAGCATCCTGAGGAATGACTCAATCGAGTTTGTCTAGAAGGTACAAAGAATTCACTAGGGATTACGGAAGGAGCTGTGGACAGCTAAAGATAGATGTGTCTCCCCTCCTCCATCTCCAGCCCCTGTTGGAAAGTCTACAGCAGAGTTGGTGCAAACCTGGCTTGAGAGCAGTAGAGGTGACTGCAGGTTCCCACAACATAACTCTCAGACCGCTGTGGTGTACAGCACCGGAGATGACTGCAGACTCAGCCCCCATTAAAGCACAGACCAGTGTACTGTGGGAGTCACTTGTATGTGTACGTCATCATAGCCCTTCTGATGTCTTGGAAGACACTTCAGCCCTGGGGAGAGTGGCTTGTGGAAGATGGGGTTCCTCTGGCTAGGAATCAGAGGACTCTCCTCATTACATACCGTTGTCATCTTCTGCTGTTCTTTTTGTTTTTTTGTTCTGAAGCAGGGTCTCTCTATATGGCTATCCTGAAACTCATAGACCGACTGTCCTCAAATTCGCAAAGATCCCCTGCTGATGTTAAAGGCTTAAGCCATCATGCCCGGCTCTTCTGCTGTTCTTAAGGTTTCATGTGTTCAGCCAGTGCTTTGCTCAGCTGAATTGTTCGTTGAGAATGGGGCTTTGTCTAAAAAGGGCCTTTGAACTAGCCAACATTTGAGAGTGGCTAATTTCTGTTAATTTGTTGCAATATCTTATATTCAAAAAGTATTAAAGCTGATTAAAATAAAATCAGAGGCAGACAACATATCATCATTTTTTACCTCTCTTAAGCATAGTAGTGATATGAAATTCAACTAGCCAGACATTTAGTTCAAAGCTTTTAATTTTTAAATGAAATTAATTCTTTTTGTGATACTGTGGTTCAAATTCAGGGTGTCAGTCATGTATGCTAGGCAAGTACTGTACCCCTGAGCTTCATTCCCCACCTTTTTCAGATTTTTTTTTTATTGATTTTTATTGAGCTCTACATTTTTCTCTGCTCCTGCCTCTCCCTTCCCCCCTTCAACCCTCCCTAAAGTCCCCATGCTCCCAATTTACTCAGGAGATCTTGTCTTTTTCTACTTCCCATGTAGATCAGATCTATGTAAGTCTCTCTTAGTGTCCTCATTGTTGTCTAGGTTCTCTGGGATTATGGGTTGTAGGCTGGTTTTCTTTGCTTTATGTTTCCTTTTTCAGATTTTTAACCAACACGTGCACACCCATGATGTGCAGTGGTGTTTTGCTGTGTACTGATCTGTCAGGACAGTGGCTTGTCCACGAGTCACTCCTTCATGTGGGGAGCATTCAGCGTTTTTATTCCTGGTCGTTCTTCTTTCCTAGGCAGCTCGATGGTGGGAGAAGAAAAGATGTCACTAAGAAACCGACTGCTAAAATCTGGTGAAAATCCTGAGCAAGATGAAGCCCAGAGAAATCTCTTGGAAACCCAGAGAAATGGTGAGGTTTTTAATGTTTCCGAGGTAAATTAATGAACCAGAAAATAAGCTCACTGTTCCAGGACATTTCTTGCAATTTTTTACTACAAATGTGTACTGGTGGTTTTATATATCTGATAGTAAGTTCATATTAATTTAGTGATAACTGGAGAGGTGGTTCTGAACTCCAGTTCCAGGGACTCTGCTGCCCTTGTCTGGCTTCTGAGAGCCTTGCACACACAGGGCACATGACATACATGCAGACAAAACATCCTGGGTTTCCATTGCTGTGAGAAAACACTATAACCAAAAAGCAAGTTGGGGAGGAAGAAGTTTATTTGCTTATACTTCAGCATTGCTGTTTATCACTGAAGGAAGTCAGGGCTGGAACTCAAACAGGGCAGGATCCTGGAGGCGGACTCTGATGCAGAGGCCATGGAGGAGCGCTGCTTACTGCCTTGCTTTCCTTGGCTTGCTTAGCCTGTTTCTTATAGAACCCAGGACCAGCAGCCCAGGGATGGTACCACCCACCATGGGCTGGGCCTTCCCCAGTTGATCACTAAATGAGAAAATGCCTTACAGCTGGATCTCATGGAGGCATTTCCTCAGCTGAGGCTCCTTCTTCTGATGACTCTGTCTTGTGTCAAGATGACACACAAAACCATCCAGTACACATCCGTACACATAAAATAAAAGTAAATACATAAAAATTAATTCAACAAACATTTCTACTGTGTTTTAGATATTATCCATTCATTCAGCCAGCCTAGCCTACCAGTAATTACGGAAATGTCCTGATGGATCTTTGGTTATAGTAGTGATCAATACATGTTCAATACATGTGTTCTCATTTATGGAGCTTCGAGTTAAGTGAATGCAGAGCCCTCAAAATCATGCGTAGTTGGGGGTGTGTAATTCACTGAGACCCTGGGTTTGTTCCCCAGCATAACAACAACAACAACAGCAGCAACAAAAAAAACCCCAAAAGACAAAACAAACAGAACTCCTACATAACTGAATTACTATAAATACATATAATCTTAAAGTTGCTAATTTTTGTTTTGTTTCTCTGGTACAGGGTTTCTCTGTACCTTTGGAGCCTATCCTGGAACTCACTCTGTAGACCAGGCTTGAACTCACAGAGGCCACCTGTTTCTGCCTCCTGAGTGCTGGGATTAAAGGCATGCACCACCACTGCCCAGTGACTAATTATTCTTACAATAGAATGAACAAAAATTGAGTAAGGAGCGGGATCTGAACTGACGTCTAAATCTTAGGAGGGAGTGGGATTAGGGCATTTATTATTTGTTTGGTGCATGAGGAGTATAATGCTGCACTTGTTAAGGTCAAGGTGTGTTAAGAACGGTGGGTGCGGTTAAGAACGGTGGGTGCGGAGAAGCCGCCCTCGTGCTGCCGTCTATTGCATCGGGATGTTTATTTTTTGCAGTGACATTTGTTTAGTTTTGCTTTTGCAGGGATTTGAAACTCGAGACAGGTTTGGTTAACAAATAGGGGAGGGACTTCTGGAGAACAGGTTGTCTTTGGCATCCTCAGACTTCTTTTCATAAAGAGGCTCTCTCTTTATTTAGCCTTTTGTACTTTAATTGCAAGTATCAGCAGCCAGATCGCACCAGGACTGTGAATGAGGCTGTTAGTTGGTGTAATGAGGTTTATTGACAGACCCAGCTATTGCCTACATATTGCACTTGGTCTAATGTGCTGCGAAGAGTGAAGTCTGTGCAAAGGAGGGTGAGCCAGCACAGACAGAAGCAGTCATCTTCCCTTGTATTCATGGTCATGGTCATCGTCCGGGTGCTCTCCTCTGCCTGGATTCCCACGAATTAGGTTTCCATTTTTTTTTTTTCTAATGTTAATACTTCTTAGAGACAGAAAAGGTATTACTGAAACTTTCTGTCAGCATCATCACACACTATTATTCTCTTTATATTTTGTTTTTTAAAAGCTGTTTTGTTTTGTTGAGGGCTTTTCTATGTAGTCTTGCTTCATCTCCCCAGTGCGGGGTTGAGACATTCGGCGCCATGCCCGGTTCTCATGCAGGGCTTCCTGCTTGCTCGGCAAACATTCTATTGAGCTAGATCCACATGAGTTGGAACCATTCTAGGCTTTAATACAGCTGTTACAAAATTATGTTGTTTCACTTAAATTAAGATGTGTGGCACCCTCCTTAATGGAGGTACTGCTGATTGGAAAAGAAAGAGTTTCTCTGCGTTAACGCTTGCGAAATCTGGATGAGTAAACTGTGACCTTTGCATTGCGATGGCTTGAAGGCCTTTCAGTGTGGCTAATAGCAGGCCAACCTAGGAGCTCGCTGCTTCACCTCATATGCATTGAGTTAAGTTTATTTTTAATAGGATTCTTGGTGGTTCATATACAGGTTAAGGTTTGAGATACCGCTTTTATTCATTTATTTGTTTTTCTTGAGACAGGGTCTCATGTAGCCCAAACTGGGTTGTAACTTGTTATGTATTTGAAGTTGGCCTTGACCTTTTGATCCTCCTGCTTCTACCTCCCAAGTGTTGGGATCATGGGTGTGCACCATCATCTTGAGACGCAGCTTTTAGTGTGGCACATTTCATTTGGGCTGTGATTGCGAGTCTTCCTTGAATGAAGAAATGATCTAATACAGTAGCTTGAGATCTGAGTCAGAACCTCCTACTGGGGCCCCTGAGGTGTGAAGGGTGGAAGAACTCACTAGATGGTACCCCGAGGTGTGACGTGTGTGAGCCTGCGAGATGGTACCGATTGGGCTTTGCGGTCAGATACCACTGCTGTGAAGAACGTTGATGTCCTGACTTCATTAAACTTTACCACAGGCGTAGTGGCACTGCCTTTAATCCTAGCACTCAAGAGGCAGAAGCAGGTAGATCTCTGTGAAGCCATAGTGACCCCAAAGATAATAATGTTGGGGGACTGAGATGACTTAGTGCTTAAAAGTGCTCCCTGCTCTTGCATAGGACCTGTGTTTAGTCCCAGCTCCATATAATGCCTTTCAACCATCCTAACCCCAGTTCTAGGGAATCTGACTCTTCTGACTTCCTCAGGCACATCTCAGTGCACACATACACACATGCACAGTGCACACACATGACACGGTGCACAGACATACATGTTCATAGTGCACAGATTTATTTGAACAGTGCACAGATAAAACATTCGTACACATAAAATAAATAAAACAATACTTGTATGTGTATGAGGCAGAAGCAGGGAGGCTAGCCAAGATTATACAGTGAGACCGGGTCTCAGCAAATACTCAGAGTAGAGTGTGCTGCTCAGGGAGAGGGTTGTGCAGACCTCTGGGTGGTGTGGGCTTCTCAAGAGTGTCTTATATCCTTATCTGTGATCTCTGTGGCCATGGAGGTCCTTCAGAGAGTTTCTCAGGCACTTCCCCCCACTCCTTTTTCAGTAAATGAGATCACAGGGTTTCCTGAGGTGCCTTGGGTAGATTACTTTCTGATAAGTAAACCACTGGTCATAAAGGCTGCTTAGGGAGTTCAGACCTGCTTTACTGAGGAGAAGTTTACATTTTTTCCTTGAGCTGCCAGAGAATTGCACGTTTACATCTATGAAAGGCTCTTTTCTTCCTAAGCGTGATCTGGTGCTCTTTGAGCAGCCTTTCATGGGTTTTCAAGGCATGGTTTCTCTGTAGCCCTGGCTGTCCTGGAATTCTGTGCAGAGCTCTAGATCTGCCTGCCTCTATCTTCCCAGCACTGGGATTGAAGTCGTGTGTGACCACCCTGAATGAACATTTTGGAACTGTCTCTCAAGGGGCATATTCTGTCAGCAACCTTTACAGATAATTTTAATTGTGCTAAAAGTTTTATTTTTAAGGTTTATTTTATTTTTATTTATTTGTGTTTGGGGGGGGTATGTGCATGTGTGAGTGCAATTGCCAACAGAGGTAGAGGCAGGAGAACTGGGGGTTCAAGCCTGATTTAATCTACGTAGCAAGTTTGAGGCTAGCCTTGGATAACTGAGGCTTTGTCCCCCACAAAAAGAAAAGCAAACAAACAAACAAACAAAACAAAAAGCAAAAACCCACAGAAACCAAAACCATAGACACAAAACCCCTATGGACATGGTGAAGGCTTTGAAATGACTGTTACTCTCATCTCTTCATGGCAAGAATGTTAAAGCTGGGATGAAGATGGTCTAAGAAAATGATCAGGATGTTTTTGAAAAAAAAATCAGAAGGTTAAAAACGTTTATGTGTATATGAGCATTTTGCTTGCATGTATGTATGTGTACCACATGTGTGCTTGGTACCGGCAGAGGACAGAAGAGGGCATCAGATCCCCTAGAACTGGAGTTACAGATGGTTGTGAATCACCATGTAGGTGCTGGGAATTGAACCTGGGTCCTCTACAGAGTACTTTTAACCACTGAGCCATCTCTCCAGCAATAATGAGAAACTTAAAATCAGTCTGGGCTTCAGTTGGCAACAGAAACTTGCTAGTTAGTGCCTCTGCATTAGGTAATTCTGGACTTGCCGCAAGCAGACAGATTTATAGAACTGAAACCTGGAAAACGACTGTCACCGTGCAGCCCGACTGTCACCGTGCAGCCCGACTGTCACCGTGCAGCCC